AAATATAAAAAAATCAAAAAACAAAAAATTGAAAAATTCAAAAAATAGAAAAATATAAAAATTCGAAAAATATAAAAAATTTAAAAATCAAAAAAATATAATTGAAACGAAGAACGACAAGTGTGACGACGATTGACGAGTGATAAGCGTAGAACGGTTAACAACGCACGACAGACAGCGAACGACGAAAGTCCTACGACGAACGACGAGCCTCGAGTGATAAACAATGAACTTTGAATGACTTTTGAAATTAGAGCAACGAACAATCAACGACAGACGATGTACGACGAACGATTAACGGCGAACGACAATCCACAAGCGACTAACGACGAAAGAATAACACAAACGTTTATATACTTTCAAAATTAAAAAAAATACGAAAAATATAAAAAAATCAAGAAATATAAAAAATCGAAAATATAAATTTGGGAAAAAAAAATAAAAAGTATACTTCAAACGAAAAACAACAAGCGTGACAAGCAACGAGCGACGAGTGATGAGCGTAGAGCGGTAAGCAACGAACGACAGACAAAGGACGAAAATCGTACGACGAACGACGAGCCTCGAGTGACGAACATTGAACGTTGAATGACATGCGAAATAAGAGCAACGAACAATCAACGACAGACAATGTACGACGAACGATAAACGACGAACGACAATCCACAAACGACGAACCAATAACGACAAACGTTCATATATTTTAAAATACAAAGATTCGAAAAATATAAAAAGTAGAAAAATATATGTATTAAAAAAATATAAAAAACAAAAATAAACTTGAAACGAAGACCGAAAAGCATGACGACAAGCAACGATTGACGAGCGTTGGGCGCAGAACGGTAAACGACGAACGACAAACAACAAACGACAAATGACGTACGACGAACGACGAGCCTCGAGTGAGGGACAATGAACATTGAATGACATGCGAAATAAGAGCGACGAAGAATCAACGACAGACGATGTACGACGAACGGTAAACGACGAACGACAATCCACAAACGATGAAAGAATTACACAACCGTTTATATATTTTCTAAATTTAAAAAATCGAAAAATATAAAAATTTGAAAAATATAAAAAATCAAAAAATATAAAAGTTTGAAAAATTTAAAAATTCGGAATATGTAAATTTTGAAAAATATAAATGTTTGACGAGCGACGATTGACGAGCGACGATTGACGAGCGATGGCTACCGAACGACCAACGACGAACGACCAGCGACGATCGACCAGCGACGAAGCCTCGCGACGAACAACGTACGACGATCTACGCCCGACAAGCGACGAACGGTAGGCCAAAACGATATTCGACGAGCGCTGATGCCGAACGACGTACGCCAAACGACGAGCGACGAACGACGATCGAAGAACGACGGGGGACAAACGAAATATATAAAAATCCAAAAAATATAAACGAATGACAAACGATGAACGACGGGCGACGAAGGTCGTGCGACGAGCGCCGAACGCCGTGCGACGAACGACGTACAACACAGGCGAAAACGGCAATTCGAAAACACCAACGAGAAAACGCGAACGCGAAATCGTGAATGCAAAAACACAAACGCGAACACGAAAAAGCGAACGCAACCACGCGATCGCGAAAACGGGAACGACAAAACAGGTACGTTAGAACGCAAGCGCGAAAAAACGAATTCCAAAACGCGATTGCAAACAGCCAACGCGAATACGCGAACGCTATAACGCAAAAGCAAAAACGCGTAAGCGAAAACGTGAATTCGAAAACGCAAACGCGAACGCCGATATGTGATTTTGAATACACAAACCGGAAAACACGAATGCGAACGCGAAAACGCGAAGAAGTGAACGCGAAAACGCGAACTGGAAAACGCGAACGCGAAAAGCAAACGTGATAATGCGAACACAACAACGCGAACGCGACAATGGCGAAACAACGAAAACCCGAAAGCGATAACAAAAACTCAAACGCGAACGCGACAGCACGTACGCGAGCACGCAAACTGGATTGCGAAAACGCGAACGTAAAATTGCAAACGCGAAAGCACGAGCGCGAAATCGGGTTGTTGCGTTCGCGTTGTCTCGTTTGATTTGTCACGTTCGCGTTGTCGTCCTCGAGTTTTAGCGCTCGTGTTTTAATGTTCGCGCTCGCGTTTTCGCGCTCGCTTTTTCGCGCAATTGCGTTCGCGATTTGGCTTTCGCGTATTCGTTGTCGCGTTTCGTTTTTATTTTTTCGCTTTCTTGTTTGCACGAAAGACAGAAACGAAATGTAGAAACGAAAATGCAGAAAGAATCATGAAAAAACAAAAACGAAAAAACGACAACGCAGCAACGAAAATGCAGAAACGAAACCGCAGAAAAGAAAAGGCTGAAATGAAAACGCAGAAACCATAAACGAAAAAACTAAAACAAGAAAACAAAAAAATGAAAACGGAAAAAGGTGATCGAAAAACAAAAAAACAAAAACGAAAAATCAAAAACGAAATAACGAAAACAAAAAAGGAAACGCAAAAACTAAAAAAAAACAAAAAATACGAAAAAAAGGATACGAAAAAACTAAAACGCAGAAAAGAAAATACAGAAACGAAAACGCATAAACAAACACGAGAAAACAAAAACGCAAAAATGAAAACGCAGAAACGAAATCCTATAAACGAAAGTGCAGCAACGAAAACGTAAAACCGGAAACGAAAAATAAATACGCAAAAAACGCAAATACGAAAACAAAAAACGAAATAACCAAAACAAAAAACGAAGAAACGAAAATAAAAACAAAAACGAAATAACGAAAAAAAGAAAATGAAAATTCGAAAACGAAAACTAAAACGAAAATCGAAAAAACGAAAACGAAAGAACGCAAACGCAGAAACATAAATGCAGAAACGAACCCGCAGAAATGAAAACGCAAAAACGTAAACACGAAACGACTCAACACACGTGAACAACGCAAACACGAAACGAGACCCAACGAGACGAGACCAAACGAAACGAAACAAGACGTGAGGAAACGATACAAATCAAGACAAAGAGAGATGAAACAAGACAAAACAAAGAGACGAAATGAACCGAGACTAAACGAAACGAGACAAGGCGAAACGAAACGAGACGAAACGTGAAGGAATGAAACTACATGAAACCAGATGAAAGATAACGAAACGAAACGAGACGAAATGTAACGAAACGGGAATAATATACTGAAACGAAACGAGACAAGATAAAATTAAACGAGACGACTCAAGACGAAACGAGACGAAATAAATGAAGACGCAACGAAACAATAGAATCAAGATAAAACAATACAAAACACAAGGAGAAAAACGAAAAGAGACAAATTTAAACGAAACGAGGCGAAACGAAACAAGACAAGATGAAACAAGTGACAAAATGAAACGAGATGAAATGAAACGAAACAAAAAGGTAACACGAAACGAGAGGAAACGAGCCGAGACGAAACGAGAAGAAACGAAACGACAAGAAAAATAACGGAATGAAACGAGTCGAAACGTAACGAAACGAAACGAATAGAGATGATACGAAACGAGACGAAAAGTAAACGAGACATGACGAAACGAAACTATACGAACGAATCGAGGTGAAACGACACGATATAAAACGACATTAGACGATACTAATCGAGAGGAAAACGACATCAGACGAAACAAAAAAGGCCAAACGAGACAAGATAAAACGAAACAAGACGAAACGTAACGTGACGAAAAGAGACAAGACAAAACAAGATGAAACTACATGAACGACTCGAGAGGAAACGATACGACACAAAAAGAAAAGAGACGAGAGTAATTGACAGGAAATAAAACGAAACGACACCAGAAAAGACAAAAAAGACGGAACGAGACAAAAAGAAATGAATCTAGATGAAACGAAAAAGAGACGACACAACACGAAACGATTCGAAACTAGGCGACACGAAACAATACAAGAGGATAATAATCGAGATAAAATAACATGGAACAACACGAATCGAGACGAAAGAAAATGAAATGAGAGAAGACAAAACGATAAGACACGAAACGAACCGAGACGAAACAAAATCAGACAAAGCAAAAGGAAACAAAAGAGACGAAACGAGAAGAAATGAAACGAAACAAAAAGAAAACAGACGAGACGATAGGAATCGAGCCGAGACACAACAAAACGACACGAGACGAAACGTGACTAGGAGATACACAACGAAATGAGACCAAACGAGACGAGATTAAACGAGACAAGGCAAGACGAATCGTAACTACATGAACGAATCGAGACGACACAAAACAAAACAGGACGAGACTCATCGAGGCGAAATAAAACGAAACGACATGAGACGAGACAATAAACAAATCGAAACGAAACGAGACGATATGAACCGAAACGAAACTATACAAAACGAGAATAATCGAGACGAAATAAAACGAAACGAAACAAAACAAGATGAAAGAGAATACAAGACGAATCGAGACAAACCGAAAATAATCTAGACGAAATGAAACGTGACGAAACGCGACGAAACGAATCGAAACTAGTTGAAACACAACCAAATGTAACGAAAACGAAAAACAAAACAAGGCGACAAGAAGAAAGTCTTTTAAATTGGAATAAATCCATTTCGGTCGTATCCCATGAAGATCCTTCGCGATTCATTGACAGCCAATACAATTTTCCTGACACAATTTTTGCACTTCTCAATGACAAGATGACAATAATGAATCAAATTTAACATTTCTTTTTCGCAATTTTTAGGACCTAAAATTCGATTACCCATAAAACTATGCCTTCAGCTGCAAATGTGTGATATGGTCTGACATCTGGAAGTTGTTTTAGGATCTAAAGGCCATCGTTCATTAATTAATTTTATCAGCATTTGCATTTCCTCATCATTATGTGATTCTAATTGCAATTGTTCTTTCCTATGCGTTGTAATTGAAAAAGAGTCATAACAGACATACTTGAGCCTCGATTTCATTATCTGTATGTTTCGAAGGGTCCGAAACATAAGTGACGAGACAATGTATTTGCCACATAAGTTCCTTGTCTGACTTACGTTTTATTTCAATGTTTATTTTTGTAAATACATCCGCATTCTCATTAATCTAGAAGGACATTCCATCAATGATGTTTTAAAATGTATTCGAGTGGTTTGTGATCGCTTTCTACAATTACATTTTTCCAAAAATATATTGGCTAAACTTTTCAAGCGTAAAACAAATCGCCAACGTCTCTTTCTCTGAGCACACATTTTTTTCTGTATCAGTCAATGATTTGTTTGCATCAGCAACAGGCAAGGTTGCCTGTAAGAGAACACATCCGAAACCATCTTTGCATGGATCTACTGATAAGGTCATGGGTTTATTTACACTTAAATATCTCGGAACAGGATTTCTCGTTAAGATGTCTTTAACCTTATGATAACTGCACTCTACATTTTTATTCCATATCCATGAAACGTCTTTTTTTATCAAATTTCTCAAGTGAACACTTTCCTTGATACATTACGAGTATATGTGTTGACATGCCAACAATCTGAGAAATGTTTCGATTTCTTTTTTGTTTTTCGGGCGTTCCATATTTGTAATCGCTCAAATTCTCTAATTCCGTCCTTTTTGTAAATTTACGTCCAAATATTTAACTTTATCGGTTCCTATAATACGGTTTTTATTAAAAGTAACACGTTTTTCTCTAGGCCTGAGCAGTACTTTTTCTAAATGTTCATCATACTGTTTTTGTCTTTACCCCAGATTAACAAATCGTTCAATGTCTCCAAAGATATTCTGAAAAAAAGGTTTGAAATATTTCGAAAGCAGACCATATGCCATGAGGCATACGTAAAAACTTGTTCTTACCAAAGGGGGTGTTAAACGTTACACATTCGGAATTTTCATTAGAAAATTCAATCTGCCAGATTGCCTTGTCCGTATCCAGTGTGATAAACACTTTTGCACCAGTCATTCTGGAGCACAATGCTTCAAATTTAGGTAATTTAACATGCTTGTGCCTAATATTTTGATTCAAATAAATTGGGTCTAGGCATATTCTGAAATAAACGTTTTTTTAACTATCTGGTTAACCCATTCGGAGGGTTTACCCATTCAGAGGGACCTAAATAACTTTGTTTAATGACATTCTTAAAAGTTCAAAGCGTTTGTTGGCTTGCAATACTTTGTTTATTGGTTCAATATCTGATGAGAATCGAGAAAATAATTGGAACGAAATGATTCAAGTTAATGACGAGTATGATAGAGAAGTTAAACTCTATACTGGTGCACATTGCAATGTGATTTTTACCGATAACTTACGATTATTGTGTTAAAATGAACCTCACCTCGAAAATACACGTGACAAAAAGACTGCCCACGGAGGAGGCAAGATATCGGTCTTTATTTTCTAGGTAGGTTCAGCAAGCTTCAGATTATAAGGCTCTTAATTAAGCCTTTCATATGGTTTGGTTATTGGGCGCAGCTAGCTTTAGTTGTTTTTTTTATTTCCTACCGCCAAGGTTCAGGATCTCGTCGAATGAAAGTTTTTGACGGATCCGGCTGTTGTCCTTAATTTTCCCTGTAATTTTTTACTTTTCAGTTGCTCTATATTTTCCAAGTTATCCCCGTTTTCTTAGAAATTAGTCATCTTGTAATAAATGTGACGAGAAAGATAATTTCTGTAAACGGCGCTAGATTCACCACCCTCATATTCGTATAGATGACCCATTTTCATTCCTGTTACAAAAACAAAGTTATTGTGTTGTTAGGGTAATTGAAAGGAAATACAAAATTTGTAGTTTATTTTGATACTGAATCAGCCACTACAAACGGTTTCCATCCAACCTGATGGAGCACTAATGCTTTATCAGCAGGTTATCATTAATGTTTGAAGAAGGCAAGATTTCCTTTTAAAGAAGTAGTTACTGTGATTTTGTATTCTCTAACTATTAAACATTCATGTCCTTGGAATTATATTTCTCCAGAGCTAATTGAAGAAACTTGAAATATTCATATTCAGCAGGGTCGTTTATTTTATGATTATTGTTCCTAAAACAAAATTTGGATTAAGCAAAAGAAATAAAAAAAAGAGACTTCGAAGTGTTTTGAGCCTGTAACAGTGCCGCTTACCTATTCCAAATATCTCCAGTTATTTTTGATAGCATATCATTAGCATTCAAGGATTGTATAATGCTGCCATCAGTAGATACAATTATTGATGTAACTGGAAAAGAGTAACTGTCTAAAAGCTGTGCTGCTATTTCATTACCAAGAGCCTTTAGATCCTGAAAAAGAAACAAAAGGTTTGCATGTATAGTACCCGACCACTTCGTGCCAGCCGCTCTGACCGTGTAGCAATTTGGGTCTCCGCTCCGAATGACGGATAGCTGAATAACGATTAAATCATCCTTACTCTAAGCAGCATTAAAATACGCTGCTGAAATATTTTTTATCGCACGAAACTAAGAACATATTGTACTTTGCAATACTATATTTATAAATAAGAAAACGCACACTGAAAGAGATTCCTTTGAATGGAAACATCTTGACACATGTTATTATAGGCTACTGTATTCGCAGCACTAAGCATCTGCAATACATTTATGCATTAAAACATTAGGACGTACAAAACCTGCGATTAAATCTCACATTCATGACAACATTCAATGCATTGTCGAATATGTCAACAATTCAAGATTCATATTACAATTTTCCAATGAGCGCAGAAAGTGAAAGAAAACTATGGAGCTTCCATCCGTGTGAGACGTTTGTCTTTTCGTTAGATGACTAGTAACTTGCAACAAATCCGAACTGTGATTTGAAACAAAAATGAAACCAACAAAAAAAATTGATTCTGACTAAAAAAACCCTCTGAAACAAACATATTCGATTCAGTAAGAATCGAAACAGACCAATTTCGATTCTGACTGGAAAAGGAAATATTTGATTGTGTTGTTCCACCCATTATCGGACTGCTCGAACTGACTGCATTGTCATCCTCAGTGCGTCACTGCTTATACTAGGATTTATTTAACATGCACATGACGTAAATCAGCTGTTCACTGTTTCATACAATCGGGAGCCAAAGTGAAGTCACTGTAGCGAGACATAAGCTCCCAATTGGATGAAACCGCAATTTTAATCCGCTAATTTACTACAAATTCATGGTTAAATAATTCGTACTCTACGACCATAGCTGACGTCCTGGTTCATCAAGGTTTTCAACGAAGTAGAATCCGCCATTAAATGTTTGCTATTTACCTGTTGTATTTTGAAACAGTATCATTTTTGACAAAACATTTACTTACGGGAAACTACGCGGCATGCGAACTTCATTTGTTGAAAAGTTGGCAATTGTAAATTTTCACAAGCCGTCTTGCCAACCGTATGGGGATTGAGTTGTAGCACAACAACGGTGATGAATTGGATGAAATTAATGAGAACTGTTTAGCGGTGCCGGGAATAAATGCTTGTTCCCTCGATAGCCCGTTTTCAATACTGCAGTGAGAACCCCTCCGCTGCCTACACACTTGCCCGGCTTGGTACTCAGTTGAGAACAGTGACGTGTTTTTTGTGGTGTTTTTATTCGGCTTAGCCGAAGGTTCGTGTATTTTGGTGTTGCAGTTCGCACTCATTTCGCGTTCTACAGCTATGAGTAAGTGTTTGGTATGGGTTCGCGTCGGACCTTAGTCAGTAACCAAATCGGTTTTTGTGTTCACAGTGACGTGATAGGAATCTCATTAATTTACTTTCCCAGGGAAAAGTGGTTTTATTATCCCCCCAACACACACTACTGTTATACTAAGGCCACAAATAAAGGGAAAATGAAACGTACTTAGTTGGTAAAATGTTTAACTCAATTTCCTAAGTAGTAATTTGGATACAAATTAAAAGGTCGAATATCTTGTAAAGAACAAAGTCGTTTATAATGCTGGAACCCAAAAAAGCATTATAAACGACCTCTTTCGTTACAATAAATCGTTGCAAAAAGGACATCTTAAGGCATAGGTGATGACGTATTTCCCGTTTATAGCACGAATAATTGCCTTATTACACATTGAGCCAATTGCAGCGAGAGAATCGTGGAGAGGTAGAGGTAAAGGGAAAAGCCGACCACCTTTTCCCACTCAGATATCAAATACTCGACGTCACAGTTGTTAAAGTTGTTTCCCAACATTAACTTTGATTCTTACAAATTATTGTTACAAAAAATGCATACGCAACTCGTTTATAATGTTGCTTTATTGCATTCGTAAGAATTTGAAAACTCGCCCCCAGGGCCGGCAATTGGTATTAGTCCGAGTTCCCCCGGGGTGGGAGTTCCCCCTTTCCCCTTCATCACCCCCTAAAAATGTACATAAAGGGAAGCACACATACAGCATTGAATTGTCATGTTTATCGTTATATTGCCATCGAAATGTTACCTAATTTATTTTATGATATTCTCCAATCGATAAGAACTCTTCAATTTGAAACGGAAAATTTGAGTTTGGGGGATATGTTACATGAAGCCTAAACAACATTTTCAGATTTTTCTCAAAACGGCTCCGATGTTTTTCTCTGATAGAGTCATAGCACCCCCCCCCCCCAAATGCTTATTTGGCATTTTCATAGCACTCCCTGAATTTTTGAATCGGCATCTTTATACAATTACAATAATGATATACATTTTTCCCATTATAAAATTTGTTCATCAAAAACATATTCAAATAAAATCATTTTCAAATTTTCGAAAATTTTAGTAGTTTTTGCGTGATGTTAGAAAACTGACGTAATGTGATTAATGTCTCTCAAGGAGTGTGGCGAAGAGAATTGTGCACGAGACAAGTGAAATATTAATAGTATTTGTTGGAAAATAATCATTATAATAGAATTCATTATAAAATATGCGTGTTGTGTTGCGGCATCACCAGTTGCATTTCAATATTTCATAAGGTTACGATTTTGTTCTGAGGAAAAAACTTGCTATTACAAAAATTTCTATTTGAAATGTAAAAGTTAAAATCATTATTTTACCTCTAATTCTGACACTAATGTCCAAGAATTAATGAAATAAGAAGATAAGAGGTCCTTGACGGAAGATCCTGCTAGGGGTCCTTCTCGTAAAGACCTTCCTGAACCTCAGCATGATTGATCGTCCAACGCTCCCCATAAAACAATACAATGCAGAAGCTTCTTTTGATGTTCAAGCTCAGTCAAGGCTTCTGTAATAGGACTGTACACAACCTGTTCAATGAAAGATTGATTAAAATTATGTCTATCTCGCATCTTACTTTTTAATGAATAACTAAAACTTCAATGATTTATTATATTTGATACCTCTTTGAAAGGGAACATTTCTTGTTCAAGTAATACATGTGCTTCTTGCATAGCAATTTCTTCATTCCAATTCATGTTTTGTTGATTTACCATGGCTTGAATGTAAGAAATATAAAATATTCACTCCACGCACTTATTAACTTTTATTTAATAAGTATGATTGCATACCTTTAGTGTGAATTAACATCTTGGGAACAAAACTTATTTCAACCACCATATCTTCATCTAATTTTTCAAACCATTCCATGTCTAAAATGATTGTTTATAAATATTTTAATAAAGACCTTTATTGCACAAACTGTACTGATTGGAGAAATGTATGTAAAACATACCAACATTGAGTTTACGGTTTGTTGGAACAGTGAGAGAAAAATTTAATATCTTGCTGAAATCTTTAGCTATTATGAAATGTCCTTGAAACTGAGACGGTGTGAACCAAAAAGGAAGAAGTGGTGGATTGTTGAGTTGAAATTCCGCGTGACACCTGAAATAGAAATCTTAGTGCATTGTCTGAGTGAACAAAACTTGCGTGTAACATTAGTATCAAGTGGATTCATTTACCTGAACACTATGTCCATGAAAGCAGAATTCTGTGCTCGAAGAACTGCTACTGTTCCTCGAGGAGCAAATCGTGTTTGCATGAAAACATTCTTGTGGAACATTGATAGAATACGATACAGGACTGATGTAGCAGAGCCACTCTGGGGCTTCTTGTCCATGAATCTCATACTGAAATAATTGTAATTTTATGAAGTGTTCAGTTTCAAATTATGAGTATGATTATAATTATGATCGGAAGCCTGGATATTTCAGCAAAAATAACTCATTTTCAATGTTGATTTTACATTTTCAATTAGCATGAAGTGTTTTTAAGTTATTTTGTAGGGTTAGTTACTTAATGACTTATTTTACGTGGCGAGACTCAGTATGTGTTATAGTTTCTTAATTAAACCATCTGGCTCTTTTTCTGAATTGTGATTGGCAAGTGTGAAGTTTTAATTGCACGCTTAAATGTTAATTGCACGTGTGCTAGTAACAATGAGATAATCAACGATTTTTCATGGAATTAATGAGCATATTTATTTTACTAAACGAAAAATTAATTTTATGTTATGACAAAAGGAAATTACCCATTTTTATACGTCATTTTTGTGACGATTTCGACTAATTAGTCATTTTTTACCTTTTCTGTCGTTTTTTGTGATTTTTCGATGATTTGATCGATTTTACAATAATTTTAATGGAGCTTGCTTCAAATAATATTTACGAGATACAACAAATGTTCTACACAGAATTCCTGAAAAGTCTATTCGATTTCTTCGCTCAGAAATTGTGATGCCAGGCATTGTGAGTATGCAATCTAAGGTTCTTGTGACGCATATCAGCGCCATTGTCGGCTTGTCCGCTTTCGGGATAATAACGGATAGAGTTCCTGGTAAAGAACAGTCCATACCAACAGATTGCGAAATGAGTTTACTTGAACGAATGGAAGAAGTCTTAATTCAACATCTGTAACATAGTTTGAGTTGTTTATCAGAACTGGTTTTGATCACACTTTATTTTAATTTATTATACACATACTTATTTTACAACATATTTCTTTGCTTTTACATCATTTTAAAAATATTTTAAGAGCAGTTTCTTGATAATTTTTGGCGACGTTTTAGGTCATTAAAATCCGTCCCCTAATGCTTTCGGGTGGGATGAGCAGGTGGGATATGTGGTGACGCAAGATTGATGACACTATTTGAAAAGTTGACGCTAATATAAGAATTTGTGTTCTTGAATCTTTTTAATTTTTCTGTTTCATTTTATATACATGAAAGTAAATTTGAATGTAACGTGGAAAATTAATCAACTGAATATTGTGCTGATTTCCGTGCGTTTTTGAGTAGAGTAGTATAATTAATTGTCAATGATTCCGGGCACGTCAATTACTAAGATTATATTTACTTTATATTAGATTATTATATATTATGAAAGTATTGATGTATGTTTAATAGTATAAAGAAATTAGTGGTACAACTAGGGTTGCCACCTCTCCGGTTTTAGACCGGAGACTCCGGTTTTTGAGCTTCATCTCCGGTCTCCGGTTTTTGAAAAATTATCTCCGTTTTTTTTTTCAATTTCAATACATTTTCAATTTTTTTACAAAATAAATAGATTTTTCAACTTAACATTTAAAGCTTTTTCTATTTCATCAGAAATCTCTTCTTTCCTTCTTCATTTTTATCTATCCCAGTAAGCAACGCTCCTGTTGAGAGGATTTTTTCGATAATGTTTAAGTTTTGGACCGATAATCGAAACAAATTAAATCTAAGCGTCGTAAAATCTGAGTTATTTGTAAAATTTAACTACGACTTGACTTGTGATCAATTCATTGATTTTCTTAAAAAACCTGAGCAAATATCTCTGCTAAAAAAAGCTCTGAGCAACGAAAAGTATAGCTGGAAAAAGTAGAATGTTAGCAAAGTGTAACACTATTTTGAATAAATGTTAATTATTTATAGATCACTAGAAACCAAAGATATGTAAATATATTTTAAAGAAATAAATAAAAGTCTGCGTCAATTTCTTTTTAGATTTCAGTAATACCCCCCCCTCCCCCACGGTCGCAGCGGTCTCCGGTTTTCTGGAATTGGCAAGGTGGCAACCCTAGGTACAACAGAGGGGCAAATACTTGCTGGTACTAATTGGTTTTCTTTTCTTTTTAGTCTGGGCTAACATTTCGGTTTTGTCCCATCCTTCTCCGGTGTCATCTTTTGGCGCATAGTAGATAATTGTACACATTTTCTCAATTCTTCGGTTTCCTAATGGTAGAACCAAAATATTACTTTAAGCATTTTATAGAAGAGTTCTAACTGGTTTTATTCGATCAGTTTTTGAGAAACGTTCGTTTGAGATAAAATGCGGAATTTCCCGTTTTTTTAACAGAAAAAATTTGAATTTTCGAGAAAGTTTGTCAGATATCATTTGAATCACTCATTATCACAAATGCAATAATGTATACAAATCGCCGGTAATGTATACAAATCGCCGGTAATAACGACGTGAGAGAGGTATCAACGGGAGTGAAATAGGGAGATTTATTGTCAGCCTCTCTGTTTGGTATGATAATTATGTAATTATGAAAAAAATGGTCATAAGGGGCAATGTCTTCACACGTGTAAAACAATGTGTAGCATTCGCGAATGACATACTTTCATTACCAGATCTAAGTCCGCTATTGAAGAAATGGTTCAACACCTGAAAGAGTAGTCTTTACAGTATGGATTAACCATAAACGACCAAAATACCAAATCCATGAGATGTAAATCTAGCCCAAAAACTGTATGATATTAGTGTTGATAATCTTAGTTATCAAGAAGTTAGTTCATATAAATACCTCGGGTCTATAATCATAATCATGTAGAAGAAAATAAAGAATGAATAGTAGCTGGTAATAAAGCTTACGTTGCCAATCAAGCATTCTCTAGAAGAAAATTGAAATTTAAAAGTTAAGACTCTAAATAGTAATAATACGACAGTAGCTGTGTATGTAGTAAAAACGTGTTTTCTTAGAGGGGCATTCACAAGTTAATGATTTTAGAAATAAAAATTTTAAGGATTATTTTTGGACCAGTTAAACAACCAAACGCTATTTGGAGAATAAAATACAATACGGAATTTGATAACATAATAAAAAAACAAAAATAGTGTTAATCATATTAGATCTTTAAGATAAAGTTGGATGAAAATGACTACAGAATATGAATGATGATAGGCTTGTAAATTAAACCCTCGGAACCCTATTGCAACCAGTTAAAGGGAGACCGACCATGAATGATTTCAAGATAATAAAAATAAGAAACTGTACCGTGAAAGTGAACAACAGACAGGAATCGAAGGCCTTAGTTGAACAGGCCAAAAGAATTAGCAAATAATGTTGTAAAGTCTCACTAAGGAGAAGATCAACAAATTACGTTTGTGTACATTTTGACGTTTATGTCATCTGTTACAGTGAATGCTATCCGAAAGAAAAAAAACAGTTCAAAGAAATAATTTACGTTTCGGAGAAAACCTCATTTTTAATATTCTTTAAAATTGCTTACATTTCACTCAAAATTGCTCGAAAAGTACTGAAATTTTCAAAAATGACATGGTTAATTAAATAACTAATCGTGGAAAATAAATATTATTGAAGAAAAAGTGTTTATCTTAAATTACTGTTGTAGGAAGACGCTGAAAAAAGCACTTTCGTAATTTTCAAAAATTTAGAGTTGACAGTGAAAATGCTATCTTAATAACTTTATTTCTCTCTATTCTTATCATAAATTTAAAGAAAATTTTTAGAGCCAATTTGAGACAGTTTTGTAAATTTTTTGAAGGGTTTCATGGAAAGTACCCATAAAATTTAAAGATTGTTTTTCAAAATCGCAGGGCTAGGAGTCCGGCCAGATCGGCCAGGGAATATTCCTTTTCGGAAACAAATCATACTACAAATAGTTTAGACGTTCCTATTGTTCATAGACAGGCATACGGATGGACAGATAAACAGACGAACGTTCTTAAACACACACACACACAAACCACAAACCCTTTTTCGATATCAATGTACCCCAAAACGTGTAATTCCATCGAAATCTTGAAATCAATTTTCCTCAGCATTACGTAACCTTCTCTATACTACGTATATTACTTCACATACACGTATGTATAAGAGACAGCTATGACACGTATGTATAAGAGACGGCTTTTACTTTTTCACCTTTCCATCCAGGCTTTTTTGACCTGATGCCTGCAATAATAGAAAAATGGCAACGCTATTGTAATTCTTTTAAACAGACAGCTTTTGCCATAATGGATGTGATTTCCAATTTGCAGAATTTTTACTGAGAAAATAGAAAGTGTGAGAGTATGTAAGACTGAATATTACACTTACAATAAATCCTATGTTACTTATTAATGTTGATATTTTAACGATCGATTAATCACATACTTATAAAATACAACACAGCGTTCCTGGAACGTTAAATATTTAAATAAAATTTTAATATGGTTACAAAAAGTATTTAACAAATCATAAAGAATGCCCGTTTATTCCAAGGAAAATAACTCCAGACATTTTCAGTTCTTTATAACTATTACCTTAGGTCGTCCTTCGATGTTTCAAGGTAGTTGACTGGTTCTACCATATTCCAGATGTAGCCTATTCGTGCACCGGCAGGTGGAAGTAAAGGTCTAAAATCTCCAATCTTAAGAGTTATATTATTTTCATGGGGATTTTGCCAACTTAGCAAACCATTCATAGATATTGAAACTTCCTGAAAGAAATTTGCAAACATCAAAGGTAATTGCGTAGATCTTTCTCAGAGGAGCTTGCACACAAAAATGAAACTCACTTTCGAATTATCTAACATTTCTTGCAGAGGCTTGAAATCACAATAGAGAACGACGTTTCTTGAGAAGAAACACTCTGTTTCCTGGAAAAAGAATAAATAAAAAAATTAAAAAAAGAGCAAGACAGTTGAAGCATAATGGATGTCAAGATGTAACATACTTACGGAATAGTTAGGTATTGGAACAGATCTTGATGAAAGCATGTAGCCATTTTCACATTCGGTGTGATATATACATTGAAAAAATTCTCGAACCACGTCAATGGAAGAGTATACTCCAAAACTTGTGAGAACTGCTAAAGCAACTGCAACCGAAATCTGAGGCGTTGTAAAGGAGCATTTCTGGAATACACCCATCATTCTTCTTTCGAAAGCATCGCAAAACGTCTAGAGCTGTCTTTCGTGCGCGTGGCGGACGCCGTCTCGCTGCTACAGCGGCTTCACTGTTCCCCACTCGGAGCTCTTCCGCCCGCATCAGCCGCGCGCTATCGCAACATCCGCCGTTAAGTAGTACCGCAGGGAACAGCCGTTGGGTACATTGCGCGGTTTTTATACGAAGGCGTCTTTTTGACAGCTACTACTGACTGCATAACTCCCAGTTATGTCCACGCTCTCAATTCGTCAATGCGTTCGTTTAGTTAGCTCATTAGTAAATGGTTTTCATCGCCATCTCTTGCAATGCCAACGCTCTGACATTCATTTGTTTCCTCACCTGTCAAACTGGTCGCTTCTTAGAGTAAATCCACTATAACGTACTAAATACGGATGACATTGATGCTGATATTTTCAAAACATCGATGTTAGTACAGAGACATCGAAATATTAAAGATGATATTTTTTAACGTCGATGCTTTGTCTCAATGTTTCTACGTTTTCGATGATTTGTTTGTGAATTAAAAATTCCCATAATCACAATTTTGTAAAAGTTAAAATATGAAATAATAGGTGATGCTTCTTCTGTCAGTTCATGTGTTTGAACTAATCAAACCCAGTTTATAATACCTTCATCGAGCAGACAATATTTCGCTTGAGATTACTATCATGACCTGACATTTTTTTAGTCTTTCCTCGTATTTCAAACATAGAAAGGCGGTTTTTTACTGTTTACAGTTAAATTTTATTTATATATTAATATACATGGCCACTGGTAAAATGCATTTTGTTGCGTACGAATTTAATGTTAGAGATTACTAAACCGGATTTAAAACAACCATGTTTAAAAAAATGGTTTTTGTCGATACATTATTGACGTCGATGTTTTGTTTTTGATGTCGCATACTTCGTCAGGACTATGCGATACTTCGTCAGGAACTAATTAACATTTTAGAAGTCCTTCTGTGACGAACAATTTTTTTACGAATTGATCGAAAACAGTAAATTACCAGGGTGCAATGTTATTTTATGTAATGTTTCTCGAATACTTAGAAGAGATAAAGCTACATAATCCTACAAAAAAGTCGATGTTGCGATTTTGACAGAAATACACGATTTATAGGTTCCTGGTATCGAAACTTTTAAACTTCTAGGTGTGTCTGCCCGTTTATCTGTAACACTATCGCATAAACCGAGTACAGAATTTTCAGCAAAACTGATATTCCAGAATGACTTGGGAACCTGGAAACATTGGATTCAGAGAATTTGAAGATGTCTAAAAACCGGAAAAAATCATGAATTTGGTGAGAAAATCAGGATTTTTTCATTTTCAGATTCATCTTCAACTACTAGGACTGATTCACACATACCATCGTATTTAAGAAATAACATGATTCAATTCAGTACAAGGTAATAGTGTCATTCCTTGTCAAAATATTCATGGCAACCAACTAAAATATTACTGAAAGTTTGTTGGCTAATTACGTTTTTATGTGAGGTGATATTCACTAAAAATTAATTTATCTGAAATTAAGTCTTTTAATTATGATACTTTTGTATATCAGTGATTTGTAAAAATCTGCTTCACTAATGAATTCCTTAATCTTACAAAAACATCAATCTTTCAAGAAGCAAGAGAGAAATTCAAGGTTTTGAAGTTTATTCACGCCATTGAGAAATAATCAAATCCTTCTGGTATATAATAAATAATACTATTAATATTTTTTATTGATTTTCTAAACTATCATGAAATAATGAATCTCTCTCATTTTATTGATACGATTTATTGGTTTGTCCTGCTATGCTCCTAAATTTGCTAAGAATTAACACGTAATTATCTTGTATCTACCTCTATTTTTGTTATGGGTTTCGTCATACAACACGCTGCCTTCTTACCTGTCGTATGTAGGTGTGCAATTATAGTATATAGAATTACGATTCCTGGAAGTTCTAATTATTGAAACTGATTATTTGAGTTGATGGCAACTAACTACAAATTATCAGCCTTTCTGTTTTCAAAATAATAACTTAAATTTATTACAAGATCGTTACACTTTATAAAGAGCTCATCAACGATCTGATATTAGTTTCCCTGTATACAATAATTGTAATTGCATACGGCCACGAATTGAAGTTCATGGTCTTACTGTGATCTTCGCGCGAAACGCCGATTTCTCGGACGAACCCCAAAAAATCTGTCTTGACATTAGATGTTTGTGTTGACGTCCCTCCCACCGTTATCTTACCTAATGTCAAAATCGGTTTGCAAACGTCCCCGGATTATTATATTATTTGATAGTCTCATAAAAAACTGCAAATTAATTATTATGCGATTGCGACTTTCCCTATACTGTGTCTCAGGCGGACACTTACTTGCGACTGTCTACATTCAACTCAAATTGTTAAAATGTCATCCCCGTCTACGAATCTAACCAATCATAAGTTCCTCTGGAACACAACGTCTATTTAGATCGAATTTTAAATTTATAACACAAATAGCCACAACATCTTTTACGTATTAATGCATACAACACTTAGCGGGTCAAAACTAATTACATATCACCCTCTTCCCTATAACTGAAGCACTAAACACAATCTTAACTGAAAAACTACTCGTGCTGTTTTTGCCAATGCATCTGTTCTGTCCGGTGTCGTGAACGAGAGTGAGTATTTTAACAACAAAATCTCAGCTTTCGCTGCCTCTTCCGTACGGGGTCCTCTTTCCTTTCTCAGAAATAAAGAGCGTTATGTCCACGAGCATGAAATATAATTTCTTGTTTACCGGTCGCTCTGACAACGTGTGCTCTTTGACTATAAGCGTTCTATATGCATTAATTTGTCGTATTTTTAATGTCTTGATGCCGTTTTTTCTGTTCAAGGTTTTCTGTGTTATCACTCTATTTTGGGTAGGTTTCTCACACTCTCTTCTTCTAAAAGGTATACTTCGTACACTTCTTTTTCATTCTCGGTGAATCTTGAATTTCTTTCACCTATCTTGTTAATTAATTATATGTGGGACATTACTAAAAGCGATCAGTGTTTATATCGCAGCTTCTTTGAACTGTTGTGATTTCCATTACTTTTGATATTCTTCGGTTTCCAGTTATATAATCAATGTGGATGTACTACATCGTGCTGTAGTCTTTATATACATTTATGAATATCTTCATTCTTTTTGAAAGCGTTTGTACATTTCATTGAGAGCTGCGAACTCTCTCATTTATTCTCTATTGTAATTTTTTACACTTTCTCCACACTTTCCTAAAGTCTTTGTAATACTCTCATTTCTCACTCTTGCAAATAGATCCCCTACAAGAACTTCGTACCTTCCTAACAGAATCGCCATGGTTCTGTAGAATTACGTTGTTTCTTCCCTCTTTCCTTCAAGGGCTCAAACTCCACTAACGACTAGATGTTCTCTTTTGTGTTTTAATTTTGGCATAAATATCCGATCCTTTTTCATAAGGAACCTCCGTTATTCTTGATTCCCACTTTCTGCTTACAAATATGGCTACTCCGTTTCCAGCTCTCTCTCACTGATCTACTCCACTATAAAACATGGCATAATTTTCTTCATATTCTGGTCTTTTTAATTTATTTTTCGTTTGTTTTAAAATGATTAATTACGAATTTTCTCGACGTTTCAAAACTTTCGTATGAAAATGTGTCCAAAATTGCGCATTTTCAGTAACGCTCGAAATGTTTTCCCACAAAATTTCTATTTGAAAATAAGTTTTGCTCTGCTATGACTCAAAGTCACGTATTTAACTTTTAGGGAAGTGAAAAGTCATGAAAATGTACACAAATGTTCGTATATGGTGGGTTAGGTGAGATAGCTCGTTGAGATAGGGATAGTTAGTCGGGGGGGGGGGGCTATTTTCATTCCTCGTGTGACATCGTGGGTTGCACAAATCACAGACAAGATGGCTTTGGAATATACAGTTTATTTACATATGTACACAGTTCGACATGAGCCTGGAGCTCATACCTGCAAGCACTGTGGCACATACCTGTACCACCCACGCGCACTGGCCTCTGCGCGACGACAGTTTGTGGAACAATGGTTCCCTTTTGCTGGGGTCATTCTCTCCACAGACTCGCAGTGACAATGTCACCATCCTACGATCACAACCGCGTGGTCGTGCGACACATCTCCCGCCAGCATCTGGTACCTATCCTCTCGGTCTGGGCCGTCTTCTGAGAATGACAAACGCAAGGCGTTCCAGCCCTCAACCGCTCTTCGTGGCCAGTCACGTGATGCCACCATCTGCTGGCCATAACCCAACCAGCACGCTGAAGAAGTGCAGAGGTACAGTAGTGAAGTGTAAAGGGCTGTCCTTTCGCCTTTCAGAGGAAGTCAAGGGGTTGGCCTTTGTATCCAAAAAGGGACTCTTCCCCCTCCCTGCTTTTAGTACTTGTTAATTTTGATTTTTAGTGGACATGACCCCATGTAGATGGGTTTCCGTCAGGGCGATACCGTTTCTTATTGAAATAATGAGAGCTGTTGTCTGCTACGTTACAGGATAAGGATTACATCAACACCACAGTCACTTTCTGTGTCTAGTCTGCACGCTGTCTGCCCAAGTTGTTTTAATTTTAGTTATTACATTTGTCTAATGGATTTTTCTTTTAAATACCATAGATGAAGTTTAACATTCATTTGTGTATTTTACACGTAACAGACAGATACACTTAAAGTGTGCGATTAACTGTGTTCAAAAAATTTGTTCAATTTGGGGGTTTACTACTTGGAAAAATAATTTCAACGTCAGGTCTTTATTTAACATTTATTGTATATTTCACATACACATAAGCTGAAAGCATAGACATTTTCTAATTTAATTTTTGCCTAATTCCCTTTCAAGAGTTTTTAGAAAGTGTTTTAAACACAGACATCTTCTGAAATGTGAAACAGGATTGGTTTCAGGGAACACATTTACAGTTTCTTATATTCGGCTTTCATACTCTTCATGTACACTTTTGCTGTAGTACTTTAACAGTATTTAAAAATACTAATTCTCATAAGATTTTATCTTTCACTTAGAATAATAAAACAATGTTCCTTTGAACTATAATCATCCTCTACGTACGGAATTATAAGAAATTCCAAAGCTTAATTAATAATATTAAGTTTGTTCAACAGAATGATATTTCAAACATACTTCAATGTTATAAATTTTACTTCATATGAAGCTGAGATGAAATTGTTTCTACATTCTATATGTAAAGGATCAGACGTGCATTGCCACATCTTCCCAGGAACAGCTAAAACACTGAAGAACATGAATTCAAAGCATAACAAAAAAGTTCCTAACTTAAATCTGTGATGCACATAAATGCTTTGATATTTGAGCAAATAAAATTGCTTCAATATAAAAAAGAAACGGAAACTTGATTTGTTGCACATTAAAACCCAATCGCTATAGTTTATAAACTTGGGTTCACAAATTTGCCAACATGTTCTTTGGCAAACGCCTCAAAATGCTCGATGACTAGCTGCAATGTTTTGTAGCGGTCTAACGCCATTCTAATTGCACTCAGACTGACGAGGAAACACTTAGGTTCAGGTGATACGGAGAAGCTGCACCTGCAGAGAGATACAATTTTGATAATATTAATAATAGTAATAATAATGACAGGAAAAAATAATGTCTTATACATTTTATCATCTATATTTTGCAAACTTTGGTCATGTACTTTATCAAATATCCAATATTCTCCAAGAAAATAACTTCATGCGCATGCCCAGTGGCGAAGCAAAGGTTGCTGTGCAGAAGTTCCAATGGAGCCACTAACTGGATAAGTAAAACCTGAAGTTTTGAAACTAATGCATAAAGGCATGCATATTATAAATTCTATTTAACCAGCGAAGGCATCATTACGTCCTGGCCATGGGATAAGGGGGTTCGTGTGGTTAGCACGACGACATCCCTTCATCGTGTATTCTGGTCTTCATAACCTTAGGGTGGGCTCATCGTCACACAGCAATATATTCTGGGACATTTGTAGGGAAAACGCACAGTTATAATTTTGGCCCGACTGGGAATCGAAAAGGAGGCTGCGCCGTGGAAAGCGAGCACGCTAACCATCGAGGCACCGAGGAGCTGAAGACATCAGTCCACCAACAAGTATTCCATTTGCGGGTCCCTATTCTTACAGATCGTAAAATTTTCTATCCAAAGCTACGTGATATTGATCGGACAAAAGCTCTGTATCATGTGAAGAAACAAAGAAAAGCAACTTGCACCATGTATATGTTCGGTGCTATTGATAATATTACGTCGGATAGTGTAGCACAGAACATTTTGAGAATTCATTTTCCCAATACGGACCCTGGTCGGGATGCCACGTTATTCAGCTGAAAACCAAGTCAGTAAACATTCACGACACCGCAAACGCACTGTTAATCACCTCTCACTTGACTTCTCATCCGCCAGTCCCATATTCTTGTTTTTATTCGACATAATTCTTTCACGTGCAGTTGTGAAAATAATATGAATTGATCTTAATTAAATCACGGAATAATTTGAATTTTTTGAAGAGAACCTTCTTATGCGGGACAAGGGAGTATGGGAGTATGGGACGCAGAACGAATTTCGAGGCAACGAGCCAACCACTGCGCGACGTAGTTCTTTGGGTGGCCGCGTTCTACGATTGTTGTGCACGCTGCACGAAACGATGCCGAGCGCTCTAGCGGCCTCTGGATGAACTTCGTCGACCGAGCACTTTCTTGTTGAGCACGAAGACTAAACAGGTTTAATCCGGTGTCGGAAACTCCCGTGGTAAGTCAAACATTTCAATTTCAAAGAGACGTTTCGATTCTTTCGTGAAATCTTCTTCTGTATCTGAAACTATATTGTTGCTAACTATATTTTCATACTTTTATACAATAAATAAGATAGATTTCTATGTTTATAATTCTCACAGATGAAAAATCTTAGTTAACAATAGAGATAGATTAGATTTTTCATCTTGAGAAGTATAAACATAAATCTAACTAGAAAATAATATTGTATAAAATTGTAACAATGTAGTTTGTAACAAAATAGTTTTAGATTCTGAAGAGGGTCAAGTAAAAGAGATGGAAACGTCTGTCGTTGAAATGGGATTTTTGACTTATGATTGGAATCATCGCCTGTTATTTATTGTATTTATCCAGGGATTGATTTTTTTCTCATAGATTGCTGCGACAGAATCTCCTTCCAATGCCATCCCACACGTGCTCAATGTTGGAGAGGTCCGGATATCTTGCTGGCCACCGGAAGACCTCAACTTGCTCTAGGCAGTTCATAGATACACTTACTGGATGTGTGTGAGCGCTGTAATACTCACTCAGGGTGCTGTACCATAAGAGGTAGGACGTGGGAACGCAGAATGTCTGTGAGATATCGCCGTGCCGTCAACGTCTGCCGAAGCACTATTATGGGTGATTTGACAGCATTTCTGATAGTTCCCTGCACCGTGATGCCCGGGGTTACGCCGGTGCCTCTCTCCACAATATGGACAGGATTTGACTTTTGCCCTTCACGCCACCACACTCGCACACGATGGTCATCGGAGATTATGACGAAGCGGGACTCATCACTGAACATGATGCGGCGTAATTTGTCCTCTGTTTATATCTTCCAGGCATAACATCGGTGTTCTGGTGTCAATGGCAACCGACGCACGGGGCAGTCGGACACTAACGAGGCAGATACGAGCCGTCGCGCCACTGTTCGGGAAGCCACGGGATGTTGTAGAGTCGCCAGAACATGTTCGCGGATGGCGGGTGCCTAAGTCACGAGGATTCCGCACTGCTTGGTGCACCATATGACGGCCATCCATCTGGACAGTGTTTCTTGGTCGACCCGAGTTTGCACGATGTGCATGGCTGCCCTCATGTACTCATTGGTTCCAACACCAAGCCACTGTGGCATCTGAACGGCCCACATGCCAAGCAACTGCACAATGCGACCAACCAGCCTCACGAGGTTCCAGAATGCGGCCTCTGTCCAATGCAGGCAATTGGTGGATAGGCTGTCGAACGCATCTGTGCTGAATCGCGGTTGCTTCGTACTGTACGGAATTGTCCTTCACTGTCTGGCTCGCAGCAGTTAGATAGATAGATAATAGCTGCGCAACAACAGGGCGGTGACATCACGAATGCACTCTTGGTGGGCATTCTATACATTACAGACACTTGTGAACCTAATCAGTTACTCACACATCAATGGTATCCGTGAATACCGAAAAGGGATAGTATTGGACCACTCATTCTGGGAGCAACACTTTTTTTGTCAGGCAGTGTAGGTTCTTAAACACTAACAGGAATTACATGACATGTGTCTAGTTGGAGTAGTAATATCGTATTTCCATCCTGATTTCTATGTGCCTTAACAATAACATCTATACTTCCGTGAATAAACAAATAAAAACTTAGTTTATGTTCTTTCAAAAATCAACATATTTTTACTTGGTTGCAGAGATGTTGGGTAGTTGGATAATGAGTCAACATCCAGTGCAATTGAACTGTACATATACTCGGTCTAAAATAATAATTCTTAAGAGTTTTAATTTATTTCGTATTGTTTACGGTGGAATCATGTAACCTGGAATTTTTGTAGTTTTGCTAAGTTAGATTAATGAAATATTGGGGACATGCATAACTGCGATGACAAGCCATTATCATACAAATTTAAGGAATGTAGTATTTTCGTTTTAAATAAAACAGATTTTTAATTATCAACATTATCTTTCTTTCATGAAAAACGGTTTTATTCTTAATTTTAGAATGGGGCTCACGCAATATCCAAGGAAGTAAAAAATTGTTTTTGCAAAGGAATTTTTAAATTGTAATTATTTTAAAATATTCTTTGATATTTACTCTGTGATTTATTCATTTATTAAAACGCAAAACATGTATTTTAAGGACTAAAAACTGGTTTTATTCTGAGCAATTTAATAAATGAAACTCATAATCATTTAAAAATTCAAGTAGCAACATATGCATGCAAGTAAGCAAGCGAAGCTTGAAGCGTATTTTGCAAAGATTCAAACATGCAAAGCTGGGATTTTATTGTGTTGCAAGTGGATATGGCAGGAAGCTAAATATCGTTTATAAGTTTTACCTTCTAACCATTTTTAATGACTTTACAGGTACTGCCAAATGTGTTGACATCAACATTTCATTGCTGGAAGCCATTTGAAGTTCCTTTATCCATCTCGTGAGCCACTGACCCATTCAGAGCCACATCCATGCTAAGGCTGGACGTATTCTGAGATGACAAACCACAATAAAGTCATAAGGAAAATATTATAGAACGGATATCTCTCTTATTAAACAGTGAGCAAATTTTTAGTCAGAATAGAAAAGCAGAAATTCTTAGAAAATATGAACATCCTTTTGATTTTAATGGATGTTTTTAGAATATTAAATCCTTAATATGAATAATTTGATCAATTATCCCTGTACTGTCAAAAACATTGGATCTGATAATAACTTAGATTTTGTCTTAGTTGATAAAATAGTACATATCTTAAAATTAATTTCTAGCTCTCCTACTTTTCTTGTATTTAAAAAAAATGTAGTTTATAAGTGTTTGCATTTTTAATAAGTATTTGTGCTATACAATAAAATGATTCTGACAGAATTAAAAATGAAATTTCAGTAAGTTTCAAGCCATCTCTCTTAAAATCAATATCTAACTCAAAATGAATATATCTCCTTTCAAGATACTCATTAAAGACTCAGAGGATACCACATAAAGGGCTGAGGTCCATAGTGGCATGTGTAAGAATCAATAATATGTACATGTTTCACTTCAGGAGTCTATAATGTTACGAATCTAATTTAAACTACTATGAATCTCAGCCCTACATACATTGATAATTTAGACTTGCACAATACACCAGAAGTGTTAGGAAACATCTCGTATGCAATGTGATGAAATAATATGATGAAATAATATGATGTGGTTTACATTGTGATAGAAATTGATTGAACAAATTCTCTTCTGGAATAATCATCAAAATTTGACGGAAAAAACAAGCACAAATATTGGGTGAGACAAGTGTTCATAAACAACACATACGAAAGCCTGAACAACCGAAAGCTGAATTGATTAGTGTCAAAGACTTTTACAGTTATTAATGGCATTAGACAATACCAATGTACTATCGAGCAAAGAACGACCGGTTGCAGTTTATAATTGTAGCATTAATGAAGAAATAAAAGAAGCTGTAAAGCTGTTCAAAAATTAGAATTTTATACCAATAATTTAACCATAAATTTGTTAGATAACAGTTTATAAATAACAGTCTTAAAACTTCAAGCTTGTAAGTGATATTATACGTATATCAACTGTGTAAACGGTGATATGTTAATGAGTGTCTTATCAATCAACGCCAATTATGTAAGTCAACAAATTGACTAATTGCTCACAACCATGAAGAGATTGTAAATGAAAGTTTAATGTAGGGAACAACTATACCATCCTGTGTGGCCGCTGGGCGCCTATGTAGACAAGTGAAGGACGCAGCGCTCTTCGAGGGGCAGGGTAGAAATAGTGCGAATTGACAGTCGTTTTCTCTAGAGGACATTTAAAATTATGGACGGGGGCGCCAGAAGAATGGATATTTGATTTATTTAGTCAAAGAACAGTAAAAACTGTATGTGATGTCACGGGGAGAAATAATGAAAGTAAAACATTCTATATTCGCTTTCGCAGCACTATTTGAATGAATCCCAATAATGCTTTCGAGAATGTTTTCCTGTTATTCAATTATTTGAATTCCTTTATTTGAACATATCAGAGCGTTAAATGCGGATTCTAATATAGATGAATTCTATGTCTGGCAAGCAGTCATTAATACTTCTCCAGTACATGACCTCTATTTCTCTAGTGGGATGGTGTCATTTGTCGCCCTCTCACACCCCTCGCACTCGGCCACAGCAGCGCCATAGATACAGATTGACTGATTGGGGGGGCTTCCGGGCGCGTCAACTACTAAGGTCATTAGTCCCGTAAGGGTAGTGCATTTTTAGCGGAGACCTTATACCGTCGGATGGCGTATTCCGGTGCCGAACTATCGGTCAGCTAGCAGGGTTTTCCCCAACCAAGTATCTTTCACCAGAGGGGCACCGCTCCAGCCGGGACAAGCTCTAAGCTCCCGACTGGTCTCCCGGCAAGTGTGGTAGTGTCCTGGAAGTTGTGTAATTAAGAGGTTAGGATAGGACAAGGAAGAGGACGGAAAGACCGAACGCGGTCCGTAGCCCGTTTATTAGGGTACTACTCCAGTATTCGCCTCGTCTTGATCAAATAAAACCAACACTGAAAACTATTAGTGTAGCCTGACGCTAGAATTCTCTTCCAGCCATCGACTGACTGTGACCTAGCTATCTACAGCTAGTGTCGAAAATCCTACCGCTGTCTGGACTCCAATCCCAGGACTTCCCAGTCGGAGGCACTACAGTGACATCAACTGATGCTCTGAGCCATTCAAGTAGGTGGGAGGCATTCAGAAAACCGCAATCGTACGGAGGAGCTTCGTGTTCCTACTTCACGGTGTCTACCGCGTTTTACACGGATGGCCTTCAGAGCAGTCGCAACAGCCCGTGTAACAAAGCGAGCAAAACAATCGAGGGCTCGAGCAACCGCAGAAGCAGCGATCAGCGCACCAGCGAGAAATCGTGGCGCTCCACTGCGGTGCCAGGAGGAGCCACGATGGCGACTCGACCCCGCCCCCACTCCCGCTCCCGCCACCGACGCCTACCCTACCTCCGCGGCAACACCGGTCTGCTTGTTGCACACTGTTGAGGCTGCGAATTATTGCTTGGATAAATTGGGAGAGCATTAGCAGAAACTGCAATGAACATCGCCTTCTAATGTTCTCATTAGACGATAGAGTTCCGAAAGAATCAATGAGTATTAAAGAGATTGCCATGGTCACCTCCGTTCCTGATAGCCCCGAAACTGTTCACGAAGCGGCTCCACTAATTTTCATGACAGCGCGAGCTCGGTGCGTCCGACATGGAAAAAAAGTTGGATTTCGAGAAATCTGACAATGTGTAAATGTTTCGTCGAGGCCGCTCAGGAGCAGGCGCAATCTCTTGGTGACCATCCGAACTAACATGAACCAGTTGACAATCGATGTCAAAGAACTTGGTACGAAAAAATGAGTATTTTGTCAACTGGGAAGGAATTCGCGCGGCTTTTTTTGGACAATCAGCTCAATTTTTGACCAAAATTAAATCTCCTGAGTGGGAAGTTTGAACTGTACGATCTTTTCTATCTTATATTCCTTCAAAGAGCAGCGAAACAGCTGTTCGAAATGTGGCACCAAATTTGAATTAATGTGGCGGTCAATGTGTCAACACACACAGTCACATTTTTAATACGAATTCTATGAAACATACATTAAAAGTATATTATGAAAAGATGATGTAATGGTGGATATTAACACACGAGTGTGATATTACGATACGATCGAGGAACGTTAACTTCACACGAGTGTATTAATACTCACTACACCCAGTTTCATACGAAACTTTTTCTACGACTTATGGTAAGTATAAGTTAAACTTTTACACTGAATCGTTGCCCCATACAGTCTGGTTTAACCAGTCATCTAGCACAGCGCTAGTCAAATAGGATCGAAGTGATATTATCAAATTTATTTTAAATAATATTGTACGTAAAATACGTAGGAAAAACGTTATTCGAAACTTAGTGCTTATATACTTCATCACAGTATTCTGAGCAACTTTATAATGTGAAGATTTATTTCACGAGAACATATTTTGAAAATGAGTGACGTAGGAGCGAATTTTGTACCAGTGTATTAACGCTGCAATATAAACCAGCTTTATACGTCATTTTTTATATAACAGCATTAATAGCGATTTGCATCGAAAAGGATATATCTTAGTGCACGTCTGAAAAGGGAATTATTTAAGCAAATATTGAAAAATGTTAAAAAAATAAATATCAATGTTACGTAACACAAAACTAATACCCCTTACCCCTACGTAACGCAGCGTCTCTGCCTCAAACCTCCTCCCACCCTCTTTAGCGTTACGGGAATTTATGGAGAACCAGTAAACTTATTGATAAAAGAGGAACTATACAGAACCAATCGGTTGAGCTATGCCATTCGAACGTTAAGTAAACAGAACCGGGTTGACCAGCGATGGGAGGAACGCCAAAGGTCACTGGGCGACCAGAGGCATATCTACTCCCAAGGGGCGGTATTTATAGTATACCCACCAAAACAAACAACAACTATAATTTGAACTATTTTGATAGGGGCACAAATTCTATGGTTGCCATGAGCGCACAAGACGTATATAAATTGAGAACCAAATAACTCCACCTTTTCTCGCGAAACATACTTTATAATTCTACATGTAAATTGAGGACCAAACCAACCCAGGTAAGGACGTAAAAAGTACTGATTGAGCAGGTAAGGGCGCTAAGGCGGCCGCCACAGCTACGCTGCTGTCCAGCTTTTTCCTGTGCCTTATTGAAAATCTTCCAGACATGCTCCAATATCAAAATGAAAAGCAAAGAATGCTCTAAAAGAGTGTCCAAATTTCATGTTCAGCATTATAGAATATTAGCTGAGAAAAAGGAAGAATATAAAAATTTCTAGATAAACAGAATTCATTCAATCAACAAATGATTCAAGAGAATGAAAACCAACTTAAATCAAACAATATTTCAAAAGAAATATGCCAGTACTAAGTGTGAAGAGTGGGAAGGAGTTGTATTTTAAGTAATGGACACGAAAATGTTACCTGGAATGGGAAGAGGGAATGGGAAGAGGATGTCGGTCCTCAATTTACGTACACTGATCAAATGTATTCGGACACGTCCAAAATGGTGTAGTTGTGTTTTTCATGGAGGGGGCTTGCACCCCTTGTTATTTTGTGTGGCACTATCACGGCACAAGCCTACGTTCATGTTTCAAAACACCTTCTTGCTTCGCACTGTTCAAGACCAATTCGGAGATGGCGTTTTTATCTTTCAACTCGATCGAGCACTGTTTCATAATACACGGCCTGTTGCGGAGTGGTTACACCCCAATAACATCCGTGAAATGAACTGGCCTGCACACAGTCCCGACTTGAATCTTATCCAACACCTTTGGGACGTTTTGGAACGCCGCCTTCGTGCCTCACCGACCTACATCGTTACCTCTCCTAAGTGCAGCACTCCGTTAAGAATGGGCTGGAATTCCCCAAGAAACTTTGAAGCACATGATTGAAGTATGCCTGCGAGGGTGGAAGCTGTCATCAAGGCTAAGGGTTGACCAACACCCTATGGAATTTCAGCTTTACCGATGGAGGGCGCCACGAACTGCTAACTCATTTTTAGCCACATGTCCGGATACTTTTGATCACAGTGTATACATTTCTCTGGGTTGGTCCCCATTTTACATATTGATTAAACTCTTATTTTCCGTCTGGTCCCCAATTCAGCTATGGATTAAACGCTAGTTTTTATTCTGGTCCCCAATTTACTTATGGGTTAAACGCTTGTTTTCCTTCTGGTCCTCAATTTACTTATGGGTTAAACGCTTGTTTTCCTTCTGGTCCCCAATTTACCTATGGGTTAAACGCTTGTTTGCCTTCTGGTCCCCAATGTACACACGCCGAGCGCCTGAGTCCCTAGATACCTTGGGCCGACGCACCTGCTCCAGCACTCCGCTGTTGCGCTCGCCGCGGGCGCAGGGCGTGCACGACGCGGTCACGGACGTGGTGGCGGTGCGGCGCGACGCCTCCGACGCGTGCTGCGTGGAGCGTGGCGAGCGTGGCGAGCGCAACGGCGCGGGCAGCGGCCGCGGGCCCAGCACACGCTCCCACAGCATGCTCAGTACGCTGCGCTTCACGTCGAACATGACGAAGATGAAGGCGCCCTGCAGCCCGTTCAGCACCACGAACGGGTACCACAGCGCGGGCCAGCGCGCCAGCACCGCCAGCGTACCCATCAGCCACGTCACGCCCATGATGATGAACAGCTTCAGGTACAGCCAGAACCTGCCGATGCAAGAACAGTCTCAGGTCGAGAAACTTGTTGAAACGGCTGCAGTAGGAGGCGTATTTTGTTAACCAAAACAATCGCCAAAAATTATCAATACAATGTTCTTAAAATAGTTTTAAAATTATCAAAAGCAAAGAAAAATGACGTAAAAAATTGATCAAAATCAGTTCAGATGAACAACCCAAACTACGTTACTAGTACAATCGAAGCTTCTTCCTTTCGTTGAAGTGAACTCAGTTTGCAGACTTTGGGTTTAGACTTTTGGGGTACCAACAAATCTCTGCCTTTAGTTATCGCGCTGACAGGTACCTTAGATTATTTACAATCAACGGCTGACAATACAATTTCTGAGCGAAGAAGTCGAAGAGGCTACTCAGGAATTTTCAGGAAAACATTTGTTGCATCTCAAATATTATTTGAAGTAAGTACCATTACACGATATTACAATCGATGAAATCAGCGAAAAGTGCTTTAAAAATGACAGGACAATATAAAAAATGACTTATTAGTGAAAATTGAGGGAAAAAGCAAAAAGAGTCATATAAAAATGAGTAATTTCCTTTTGTTATAACACAAAATTAATGTCTACATTAAAAGACATTGTTCTAATGTGAAAAAATGGCATTTAATTAAAATCTGCCCACTAGTCATCAGGATTGAATGATATAGCCTGGACATTTATAACCAAGTCCATAGTCTGAGAAGTGGGGTGTGGAAGGGAAGAACTGAAAGAAAAGAGAAGTTATACATGATATCTTCTAACTCGGTTACTACTAAACTTTTCTTTTAAATATTCACAACGCAGCCCGCCAGAATGTCTCGATAGTATACTAGCTGTTTATTAAGTTTGTTACTTTATTTACATTTTATTAATAAGGATTTTAAGCACATTTTGATATTAAAGTTGGTATCCAAACTGTAAATCGGCGACGTTTTACGCTACCGAACTGATGAGACGGAAAAACTGAGTAAAGAGGAAATACAGTTAAGCCTAGTTGCCATAGCAAACTAGAACGACACCTCAACATGGCGTCACTATGCAATTCACAATACCGTGGAAAGACTCGAGTTTGATCCCATATTCTCATTTTGTAACTTGTTGAAATCTTGTCTATTTTCATAAGAGAAACATATTACTACAAACGATGAGAAACATGTCTATGTCTGTTCCGCAAAAGAAAGGAAATATGGAGAGCAGCACAATGATTGTGATGTTTACCTCAGTAATTCACATATTCAATATTTTACGCCATGGAAGACGTGAAAAATAGGGAAGTTATTACCTTTATGAGTTAATATTTCGTTTATATTAGTTAAGTAATTCTCTTAGCTAATTTTCGAATTTACAGAGATGGTGGGATAACGTTTTGGAAATAAATTCACCTCTTATAACTTTTTGCAAACTATCTGGGCTACAGCATCAAATATTTTCTCATGTTAATAGCAACGGGCACGTAAAATTATAATACTGTAAAATTAATGTTACTAACACTTCACTCTTCTCTGCAAAAACCCTTAGGGTCCATTCACACGGAGCCATTCAACAGAGATTCCGCGTGGTGCTTCTGTTGCCATAGCATTGGTTTAAATGGAAGCATTCTAACGAGCGGCGCAGTGGCGATCTCCCTGTTAGTAGCGCACTCCCTGCAGACGCCTTCACAGTAGACCACCTCGAACACTGTGCTTAATGCCGTTTTCACACGAAACTTCTCCGCAGAACTTCCTAGAGAATATCTCCTGGCAATGCATTGGTTTAAATGGAGGTATTTACACGAGCGGCGCAGTGGCAATTACTTGGGCAGCGCACACGCGTTTGCACTTCACTGCCTGACGAACAGTTTTAAACGACAGCCTTCGCACTATGCCACATGCGACACGCCACTGTTTAAATATTAACAGAGACAGCCCATAGCCACCGGCGCCAATAGCGGTGTGACTCACGAATCCTTCCTTTCCAACGCTCAGTGGCGCTGGTCGGTGGCTGTGTGTGAAGGGGCTCGGCGCTTCTCATTGGCGCCACTGAGTGGCTCTGTGTGAATGAGACTTAACGACACCCGAGAAACTCTAAGGGCCCCTTCCAACGTCGCGTCGGCGGCGCGCTTCCGAGCGCCGCGGCTCGTAGCAAAGCTTTGGTTTAAATGGAAACCTTCGCACGTGTGGCGGGTTTCCGCCGCCGCAACAAGCAGCGGAGAACTCTCGCTACGCGAAGCGGAGAAGGGCGTACGGGCCACCGCAAGCAGAATACGGCTTTACATTGTAGCCTTCCCATTGTGCCGCCGGTCACTGCGTTATACCTGCTGCGGTCCCTTTGTTCGACGTCGCCGGAGGGTCGGCGAAACCTACCCCTGCAGAACCCATCCCCTTCAACGGCGGTTGGCGGTGCGACCGTGGCTGCAGCGGGGGCGGCGTTGGAAGGGCTCCGCCGCCGTCGCGTTGTGGGAAGGGGCCCTTAAAACACTTTTTCCTGTGGTTCGAAAAAATGTTGATTGAGCGAAATGAACGCACCTGACTTGGTCGCGCGGCCCGGAGTGGTGTGCGGGGGAGGGGGCTGTCGACGG